TGAGAAAAAAACAGTTGTTCCAGAATACAGTGGTTGTTGTATGAATGGGATCATACAACTTCCTATTCTTCTGAATCCACCACACTATTTAAGTGAATTGTTCCATGGAGATAGCCGCATTAGCAAACACTTTCAAGACAACATTAGATCTTATAATAGCATGTTCGGGTTTACTTCGTTGGGAGGGAAGATTAATTCAGATGTGAACAATGGGTCAGGGCCACCGGTTTTCAGTTTGCACGGACAAAACTATCATCTCATGGGTAGTTTACTTCCTTCTGAAGGTTCAACTCCTAAGTTTGCTCAGCTTTATATATATGACACCGATAATGAAGTAACCAACAGAATGAATGCTGTGAGGTTAGTATTTTAATTATATAATTGATTAATTATTTGTTATTTTTATTTTATATTATTTAATGTCTAAATGTTGTTTCACGTATGTTTTTACATTTTAAATAATTGTTTGTTCCTTTTTGGCAGAAATGTTGATGGTGCTACTGGTTTGCATGAGGAGATTGTTGCTGGTTTGACAAGAATGTTGGACGCGCACAACGAACTTGTAAAATCATTTCGTTTGGCTAGAGAAAGAATTCAAGAACATGGTGACTCTAATGTTAGAGTTCGCCTGATTGGAAGGAGATACAGTGATGCCAGACGTTATAACTTGCCTACAAGTTCTGAAGTTGCTGTACTGGTCGTTGGAGATTTCGATCAAGCTATGGGTGAGAGGGATATATTGGTGGAAACCAAGAGCGGACGACTTCAGCGAATAAATGAACTTAATGCTTCATATTTGGCTTTACAATATCCCCTTCTATTGCCCTATGGAGAGGATGGGTATAGAGAGGACATCCCATTTTCAGATCTGAAAGTTGAAAAAGAAAATGGTCGAAAAACTGTGAGTGTTAGGGAATACTTTGCATACCGAATCCATGATAGGAAACACGAGCCATCCACTATTCTTTCTGCGAGAAGATTGTTTCAACAGTTTGTCGTTGATGCATATACCATGGTTGAATCATCGAGGTTACGATATATACGCTTCAATCAGAATCGACTCCGTTGTGATATTTACAATAGACTAGCGGATGCTGTTCTCCAAGGCGATATCGACCCAAGCTCTCGAGGTAAGAGAATTATTCTGCCTTCTTCATTCACTGGGGGACCTCGAAACATGATTCAAAACTATCAAGATGCAATGGCAATATGCGGATGGGCAGGTTATCCAGATTTGTTTATAACATTCACTTGCAATCCAAAATGGCCAGAGATTCTTCGCTTTTTGGAACCAAGGAAATTGCGACCTGAGGATCGCCCGGATATTGTTTGCCGCGTTTTTAAATCAAAACTGAAGGAATTAATTCGGGATTTTCGAAAGAGAGAAATTTTTGGTAAAGTAATAGCAGGTATTATTTTACAAAAATAACTTTGTTTTGTACATACCTTTCATTTTGTCAACCATCATTGAAAAATTGTGTTCACTCTCTTATCTTTTTATGTGTTGTGCAGTTGTCTACACCATTGAATTTCAAAAGCGTGGACTGCCTCATGCGCATATACTACTATTTCTTAGCAAGGAAAACAAGTTCCCAGATCCGTCAGACGTAGACAGAGTAATATCTGCGGAGATACCTGATGAGACGACGGATCCTTTGTATTATGAAGCAGTAAAAGAGCACATGATCCACGGACCTTGTGGTTTGGCTAGAAAATCATCTCCGTGCATGGTGGATGGAAAATGTAGTAAACGGTTTCCAAAAAAGTTTGTTGATTTCACCACTGTCGATGATGATGGTTATCCACGATACAAACGTCGAGACGATGGAAGGCATATTGAAAAAAATGGAGTCGTTGTCCATAACGGTTATGTCGTGCCTCACAATCGCAAGTTGTTGATGAAGTATGGAGCGCATATTAACGTCGAGTGGTGTAATCAATCACGATCCATAAAGTACCTTTTCAAGTACGTCAATAAAGGTCATGATCGTGTCACCGCATCATTCTATCAGACGAAAGGGTATGGAGAGATAGAAAAACCCGTTGATGAGATCAACATGTTCTATGACTGTCGGTATGTGTCTTCTTGCGAGGCGGCGTGGAGGTTGTTGGGTTTTGAACTTCAGTACAAAAAGCCGTCTGTGCAACGTCTGAGTTTCCATTTGAAAGGTGAACATAATATTGTTTTTGAGGATGATGATCGTATTGATGAAGTTCTCAATAATCCCACTGTCAATGAGAGCCAATTTTTGGCATGGATGGAAGCGAACAAGATGTATGATGAGGCAAGGGAATTGACATATGTTGAGGCACCGACAAAATTTGTTTGGAACAGAAAAGAGAGAGTCTGGACTCCTCGAATAAGGCCAGGTTGTATAGGTCGTTTGAGCTATGTTCCTCCCAATGCTGGTGATAATTATTATTTGAGGTGTTTGGTCAATGTTGTTCGTGGAGCTACTTGCCATGAGGATTATATGAAGGTAGGCGATGTTCAGTATATGTCCTATCGCGATGCTTGCTATGCACGAGGTTTGCTGGGTGATGATCGAGAGTACATTGATGGAATTACCGAAGCAAGTCAGTGGGCATCTGCTGAATCTCTTAGGCGCATGTTCGCGTCTTTATTGGTTTCTGGATCCTTAGGCAAACCCGATGAAGTTTGGGAGCGGTGTTGGCAATTTTTATCTGACGACATCCTATACAAGCAACGACGTCTCTTCGATAATGATGGTATGAGATTTATTAAGTTCTATATTATGCATTTATCAAGTATTATAAATATAAATAATAAATAATATTATATGCTCAAAAGTTTGTATTCCATGTAAAAATTGAAATGTCATAAGTCATTTATCATGCTTTTCAGGTTTGAAGCTGAGTGATGCAGATACAAAAAATTTAGCTCTCGCGGAGATTGAAACATTGTTGAGACATCGTGGCACCAGTCTTCGTGACTATTCTACTATGCCTTTTCCAGATATGGGCAGTATTAATTTAAGTGCTAACCGTCTGATTTTGGATGAACTTAACTATGACCGTAAGGCTCTAGCTATTGAGCATGATGCACTTCTGACGCATATGACAGATGAACAGAAGGGGGTTTATTCTAAAATAATGACATCTGTTGATACCGGTAGAGGCGGCGTGTTTTTTGTTTATGGTTATGGTGGAACTGGTAAGACATACTTGTGGAGGACTTTAGCTGCTGGGCTAAGATCGCATGGCCGAATTGTGCTTTGTGTTGCATCCAGTGGAATAGCATCTCTCCTGTTGCCGGGCGGAAGAACTGCACATTCTCGATTTTGCATACCCCTTTCTGTGCATGAAAATTCGTCGTGTGATATCAATCAAGCTAGCCCTC